GCTGCAGGCGCTTCCGAGGCAATGGAGGCAGGACCGATGCTTTGTGGTGTTCAAAAGCGGCGACGCATCCGACGTCGACTCGTGGCGACCCATTATCATCGAGTCCTGCTTCCTGCGCCTGTACTCCTCGATGCGGCGGTATCGGCTAGCTGACTGGCCGAGGAGTAGCGTCATAGTGTCGGCGGACGTGCAAAAAGGTTTCGACCGAGTGAGAGCTGCAGTGAGCACATCTTCACTTGCAAGACCCTGTTCAAGCACGTCTAACACACAAAGGCTATGCTCCACATCGGTTGGCTAGACGTTCGGGATGCTTTCGGCTCTGTACCACATGACCTGTTGACGCGCATCCTGAAGGAGACCGGCCTCCTAGAGCAAGCACAAGGCGTCTTCCGTGACATGTACGAGAACGCCTCCTTTGCGGTCGACACCGAAGGTGCAAGCACGGGCGAGATTCCGCTGAAGGCGGGAGTTAAACAGGGGGATCCCTGCAGTAGTCTCCTAGTCAACATGCTCATGGATCCTCTCATTAGGGCAAACCTGGATAAGGAGGACCGCCAGCGTTTCTCGTACTATGGGCAGCGCTTCTCGATTTTGGCCTACGCGGACGTCCTGGCTCTGTTCAGTCGTTCGGCACGAGACCTGGCCGAGATGCTGTCGGCCGTGGAAGAAGTAGTCACTCAACTGGGCCTGCAGTTCAACGCCCAGAAGTGCAAATACCTGTAGCTTGGCTCAGCGAGGCCTACCATCCTGGCAGTTCCCTTTGCCAGTTCTCACAAATATCGAGGCCACGCCCTACTTCGGAGCAAGGATCAGAGACTGACTGCCCCCTAACACGAATTGAACAACTTCAAGACTGTATATTCGCGTGGCATAAGTCCTCTTGACCTCGAAACTAGCGCCATGGCAAAAGTTGCAGACGTACGGCACGTTGGTCCACAGTACGCTGATTTTCAGGTTACAGCAAAGACACGTAGACAAACTTTCGTTGCAGAAATACGATGAGGCACCCGCGCTGTTGAAGCGCGCAATTTGGATGCCAGCTTTTGGATATATGGCGCCACATCAAAAAAAAAGGTTTTGTGGGCTCCTCTTTACCCGAGACGACCACGCCCCGCTAAGAGTGTCGAAGAGCTTTACCCTCCTCCTGACCGACTCCCCAAAGGTCAAGACGCTCGCCACCGCAGAGCTCCGACACACGGTCTCTTTGTTCACCCTTAAGCGCTTGAGGGACGTTTCCACTGTGAACCTCCGCGACTTCCTGAACGGTGCTGACTCCACCGTCTTATGAGGATCCACCACGACCAACATGTGGATGGACCTGCACAAACAGCTACTGTACCTTAACAAGTACATAAGCATCCACGTAGCAGGTGAGACGGATAATATGACTCTACTGGCCAACGAAGACGAGGCTCCATCGTTTCTTCAAAACCATCAAGGAGGTTCTTCGTTGGAGCCTGCAAAAACTACTCAGCAACGACTACACCCGTCGTCTCCGCTGGCAGCCCAGTGAGAGGAAAACAATTCCCTGCGTGAGTCTATGCAATGACTCCAACATTTTCCTGTGCGGTGTAGATATCCATCCTTTTCTGCTTACTGGTTCTGCTATCGAGCCAGTTAGACTTCCTCCGGACAAGC